AATAATAGATGCTATTTTAATTCTGGAATTATTTTTTTTCTCCCTTTATCATCTTTAAAATCTAGTCTTCCACAGGTGAAAAGACATACACCCTCCAGTATCCTCCAGAAAGTTATTCCTTCAATTATACCTTTCTTCTCTCAAATTTTAAACTTCCTTGCACCCCCTTACTTCATAAATGTACAAAAATGTACCCTATCTGAAAAAAACTACTTTAATCAAGCATCATGATATTACCATAACACCTCCTTTCAAAGCTTGAGTAATTTCTTGAAAAAGTTATCAACCTCGTAAGTTTTGACTCAATTATTCCTACTTACTATCTTTTGTTCTCTTACTCATTTACCCACTGAGGCTTAGAAAACCTTTCAAAGCAACATTCCTTTTTTGCATCCTCATTCAGCAACTTTCCTTTCTTTCCCTTCCTTTCCCTTCTCTTCCCTTTCTTTCCTTTTTCTCCCTTCCCCTTTCCTCCCCTCCTCTCCTCTCTTCTCTGTCTGTCTCTTTTTCTCTGTCTCTCTCTCTTTTTTTTTAAATCCTGGGGATTAAACCCAGGACTTTGCACAGCTTGTGATCCTCTTGCCTCAAACTTCCCAAGTAGCTGGGATTATAGACATGTGCCACCATGCCTAGCAAAATTTTTTTTTTTAACTTTCCTCTAAATAATTCTTGTATCAGTTAACAAAATATAGTATATATGCAACATCAATCAGTTACTCCCCATTTTGGCCCTACCTCTTGACCTTTTTATTCTACTACCTATTCAGAACCATTCTAAACCCTGTATTGCTTTTGTTATTTTACTACCAGTCCTTATTGCATCATATTTCTCATTATCTGGAACCATTTCACAATTATAAATAACTAATTTTAAAAACAGTCTTTGATACAAAATATCTATTCTAAAATCAATTTCCAACAGTACAGGTATGTGAGTTCTTTTCTCTGTTTTTCATTAGGGGATACTGCCTGCCATATAACAACACATGATGTTTTCATATATACTTCAACTCTGGACTTCCTGCCCATATGTCCTTGAAGTGCCATCTTGACTTTAGCTTCCACTGCAATCTGATGGACCCAGAATTCTTCTTTGAATCTATAGCCTTCCAACTCACTGTTTTTTGTTCTATATTAACCATATTAACTCTTAGCATTCTGTGTGAATTCACAACTTCAATTAAGTAATATTTACCTTGGAATTTTTTACTTTGACTCACCTCTATTTACTCACTGAGATCTACATTAATAACCCATAATGAAACTTTGCATTCTTCCATGCTAAGCATTTAATCTGAGTTCTTGGTCAAATACTGAAAGATCATGTTTGATAGCACATTAATATTCAACTACCATCTCCTCTGTTTTTAACTCGAATTTGTTTAAGTCAGGCCTGAAACTCAATATTCTACAATTGGACCCACTATGAGATCTGCCAGTATTCCCAGGATCTGACTGGATTCCTACTGGAGAACTTATTTTTCATTGTTTCATTTATCTTTACTCAGCCTGCCTTTCTTTAAACTCACTGGAATTTTCTTTTCAAGCTATCTTCCTATCCTATTTGATATTCCCTATTTGAAATGGTTCCAGATGATGAGAAATATAATGATCCCATCATTTCGATGTCATTAATCTTTACTGCTGACCTTATTCAGGTGATCCCATATCTCCAGAATGAAACTTAAACATAGAGTACACACTCATTTAATCTTTTTGCCTTAGTGGAGAAAACCTGATCTATTGATCATAGAAATGAGATTCCCAATGTGAATATGTGTTAGCTTACTTACTAACCTGCTCTCAGTGACCAAACATCTCTACCCTTTTACCTTCCAACACAATCAGCCTGCACCCTTGGTTTTATGAGGTTCTGGTCAGGCTCTCCCTTCAGATTCCACTTCACAAATTTATCTCTATATGTGTATTTATTCTCCTGACTCTATTCCTTCATCAAGTGATTATCTGATGGAACTTTCAGGCAGCCACCAAATTATCTAGGGACAATTTCTTGTTTTCTCTTTTTCTGTACTTAAAGCTTAAAGGGAAATACTATCTATTTTATCAACTCAAAATTTCCTAAATAATTTCTGTAAGGAAATTTCCGGGAAAATTTTAAATGAATATTATGCCCTCAACCCAATTTTGACTTTAACTAATATTTGTCTTTTAACCAGGTTAATTATAATGGAAACCATGTTAAATGTAACTCAACCTATGTTCAAATCTCATATATTTGGGAATTTTATACTGAACTCTGTTCTTTCCAATTCCTGAACTCTCAATGATTTCTGCCACTACCTTCCCTGTAAGTTAGCCTTAACTGTATAGAAATGTATAGTATCCTCCTATAAGTACATTTTTGTTCTATTTTCTGAATCAATGAAGTAATTTCTGCAAGACATTGCTTCCCTTCTAGACACTAACTTCTCTGCCTACACTATACCTATGGTCTGTCCTTGAAATCCTGCATGTCATTCACTGACTTATCTCCTAAGATGTGAGAACACCTCCATGTTGAGAACTCTATTCTACCTCCTGCTTTTTCACACTGACCCCCTTAGTGAGGGTGAGCACCCACAAATTCAGGAGGTTCTGTACTATCCAGTCTACTTCATATTCCATCAATTCACCTGACCTATCTCAATTTACAACCATCACTTTCTTTTTACTGCTACCTACTGTAATGTCTCTTCCCACAATGCATATGGAATAAATCCTTGTGTGAATCATTCCCTACATTTTCTTCCACTTTACTTTTCCAGAGATCCTCTTGTTCCTCGTAAACTCCAGTCAGACTTCTTGGCCACCTTGTCAAAGTCGATATAATTGCTTAGGAACCTTTTCCTTGGTGTCTTCTTTCTTTCTGGCCTATACTCACAGCTGCCAGTAGCCATCCTCTTTGTCTCTAGAAGGCTGTACTCTCTCTGCTATGTGATTTCACCCTTAATCATGCTACCTTGTCAGTGCCACCATATTTACAGGTGCTTTCCTGTTCTCTAAAGGACTTGCACCTACTACCTGTTATTTTGCATGTCTTTGGATAGCATTGTGGTCTCCAAAATTGTCAAGGTACCCAATAAAATGGAGTCCCACTCTCCATTGGCCTACTCACATCTCTCCTTCATGCCGTTTTGTCTTACCCGTGCCATGTTCTTTTCTGCTTGCCTTTGCTCACCCAGATTCATCACTTTCTCTCCCTCCTCAGTCCTGATGCGCCTTTCTTGGTGCAGTACCTTCCCCAATCTCGCAACAGCCTTCTCCTCCCCCAGCTGCTGGGCTCCTTCCTCTGCTCTTTCTCAATTCTTCTTGCCCACTGCTCTGCAACATGTTGCAAACCCCTCACCTCCTCTGCCCTCTCCTGGGCCCAGCTGATCCTTTCTCCTGCTTTGTCTCTACTGCATAGCAAGGGCCAGTCATCTCCTCCCCATCTGCCATTCTTTCAGCTGCCATCTGTGAATCAGCTGGCTGATCCAGTAGTCCTCCTGTGTGTGCACACCCTT